AAAAAAAATATTACACATAAATCAAAAACTTTTCAACCACTCATTTTTCAAAAAAATATTATTCATCTCATTATAATCTACAAATAATAGGGCTCAAATAGCCCCTTAATGAAATGGAATTGGATGAATAATTGTTGGGGCTCATTTTATAATGCGGACAAATAAAAGACCAAAAATAACAAAATGGTCAGAACAGAATCATCTCAACAATTAAGAAAATTGTTCAACAATTATAAATAAAAAACAATAAATAGACAAAAATGTTTGCCTAGGGTTGTCTTGCACTTGCAGACGATCCTGTTTCGCCTTATTGCTTATTTGAACAAGTAAAAGTTCTGCCTTGATTGTGCCCCAGTTGAGAAAAATCAAAAAGCCAAAACCTTGAGCAGACCCTGAAATGTAACCCCATCATTTTCATCTCCACCGGCCAACCTGATCATGGCTTCAACATCTTCATCATGGGCCTCAAACCCGGCCCATTTAAGGTAACTTTTCAAATCCTCACGGCCCACTTTCCCATCTCCATCTTTGTCCATAACCCGAAAAGCATCTTCCATTACAACCCATCTCCCATTTCTACCGTTTTTCCCATTCAACACCTTCTCAAATTCTTCATATTCCACATATCCATCCTTGTTAAAATCCGCCATGGATATCCCCCAGGGCCCGAAAACCCTCCGTAAAAGGCCCGGAGATCGTCGTGGCTAATCTTTCCGTCGCTATCAGCGTCAAGAACATCGAATGCTGATCGCAAATTGGGCTTTCCGGTTGTTTCACGACCGCCCGAGGCGGTTCCCGATGGACACATTTCGTTCCGGGAAGACCAAGAAATTATATGGGATCTGAAAGGACAAGATTTTATGAAATGGTGTAAACCGCCTTTTGGGTGTTTGAGAGAGTTTGGGAGGCAAGATGTCTGAATTTATAGTTGGAATTTGACTTGCCCATCAAGTTTATTTTCTTGAATTTGTAGAAATTAAAAATTCTTAGGGTAAATTTCATCCATGGTCACTGAATTTTCAGTGAAATCTAAATTAGGTCGTTAAATACTAATTTATCTCAATTGGTTCACTAAATTTCAATATTAAATTTTTATTTCACCACTCTGTCATATTCCGTCACTTGTCGTCAGCTTCAAGATGCTAAAAATTGCTTCGTTGACAATCATACCAAAATTGATCTTCCATATAATCTCTACATAGCTACTTCCCTTTAATACTTTTATGTTCATAGTGTAGCGATAATTTAGCATAGCACACTATGATTATGTGGAAGATTCATCTTGATATGACCTATAATTAAGTAGATTTTATCAATTTCGAAGTAGCATGTGATAGTAGAGAAATTTGACACCAAAATTGAACAAAATAAAGTTTAGTAATTGACCTAATTGAAATTATTTTGAAAGCTCAGTGACCGCGGATAAAGTTGACCAGAATCATAGATTTGTATATGTATTATATTATTGGTGTATTACGTGTGAGATGACGCACGGGGGAATCTAACATGTCGGTCATTGTTGAAGTTTCTCGGAGGAGTCAAAAGACATCGTCCCTTGTATGTGATGTCATTTCAGAGAAATTACACTATGGTGTCTTTTTTTTTGACCAAGTTGAATCTTATTTTGATGTAAAATGTCTAAAAATCCTTTATGAAAAACTTCTTTCATTATTTTTAATCATCAGGATAAATCTAATTCAATTAAAATCATCTCTATTTTTTCTTTGATCCTTGAAATAGGGATGTCAACGAGTCGAGTCGAGTCCGAACCTAAAACTTTCGGCTCGATTAAAATGGTCAAGCTGTTTTACGAGCTCGAGCCGAGCCGAGCTTTTGCTCTACCAAAAAATTTTCGGCTTCTGCTCGGACTTTTCCGAGCTGAGCCTAGCCGACTCCTTTTTTTTCTGGCGGCCTTAAAAGGCAGAATTTGCTGCCTTGAATTATGCCTTTTTAAAGGCAGCAATTCTGCCTTTTATGCCCATTTTTCATTTTTTTTAATTAAAGGCTTGCGGGTCAGCCCGAGCCTCAGCTCGGTTGCTCCAAGCCACAAGTCGGGCCCGTCTGAGTCGTCAAGCCTTTTTGACACTCCTAGGTGAGTGCAGGAAGGGGTCGATCTAGCACAATGAAACAAAGGGTTTACCGTTTGTCAACTGAGAATCCATAAAAAGATTTATGTGTGGAGTACCTCTACTTTAGCAGGGATCCCTTTGCTTATAAGGAGGGTCCGCATGAGCTAAAACTACGAATGGCCCAAATCAAAGTGAAGTTTTGTGAACTGGGGCAAGAACTTGTTGGGCGTAGGATAAAGTTAATCAAGGAGTGGAGGGCAAAAAGCTACAGAAGTCAGGGATATGAGGCTCGGTCTACAGGCCTTACGTCAAAGCCCGAGAACAGATTGGAAGTGAGAGGGATCCAGAATCTAAGGAAGCGAAGGAACTGAGCTAGACTACTGGGGTTAAGATGGGGAAAAGATGATACCAGTATATCACAGAGATGCTTGGGTGGATGCTGAATCTTGATCTGTCTCCTGGCATTGATAGTGATTGATCGAATTCCTACTCTTGTTGCTATTGGGAAGTGTGGCAAGGACGTGGAATTGGGGACGGCACGTCGGCATGGACATAAATGTGATTGCCATGCATTCTTGAACTGGACAATAAAAATAAAGAAAGAAGAATCATTGATTACAAATTGATGTTGTCAATAATAATCTCTCTTTCCTTCCAATGGAAAATTAAAATTCATTGCTTTTTTCCCTTCTGAGTGCGAATATTTCAAAAAAATGAAAAAAATTGTAAATGGCAAGTTTATTAAAATTTACAAGTGAATGACAATTGTACGCCTGCATTCCTAGAGATTATTATCGTTGTATTCTTGATTCTGTCATATAAATATAGGGTTTTGGTACTTAATAAAATACATACAAATCTATTAACTTCTTTATATTTTCTTCTATTTTCTCTCTTTTTATAACACGTTATCAGTACGATAGCTTAATTTTTCAAAATTTAGTAAATGTAGTAATTTTTTTATAAGTATAAATATTTATCACGTATATCAAAATTAATTTAGTGGCATGTGAATTCTTTCGATGTACATATACATCATAATCAAGTTGTTTATTCTCTTCCGATTTTCATTTGCATGCATATTAATTTTAATCCATGTTTGTATGTGTAATTTGTACGCATATTAATTCATGTCTTTTGATTCATACACAATTAATTTTGTCACATATCATTAATTCTGTCTTTTGAATCTGTTACATACTAGTTCTACTTTTGATTTTTGTACATGTGAAATTCATATGTATGTTTAGTATCTTTTGTATCTGGTAAAAAATTTAGCCAATTTTGTTAACTTCTATGTATAAAAATTCTTTTTCCTAGGTATCGTTTGGTAGCCATTTTTTTTCAAAATGCATTTTTTTCTCTCTTTTTTTTTTCAACCACCTATTCTTTATTAAAATAATATTATACGTAAATAAAAAAAATTTCCTTATTTTTCAACCACACATTTCACATCAATTTACTATTCTAAAATGTATTTTTACATAAAAATGCCTATCAAACACCTCCAATACATGTTTGGTAATTAATTTTTTTTATATAAATTCATATTATGTCTATACGGTGATTAAATATTCTTAGATATTCTTCTATAAACTTTAAATTAATAATTTAACATATTGTTGTTCTAAAAATAGCACAACATTATAATTAATATTGCAGAAGAATATTAATTGTATATCTATATATTATAAATAGTTCGTTCTTACTTTTGAAGTAGCACAAAATTATTAATATTCTAGAAGAATAATACTTGCTTATGAAGAGCATGACATTACAATTTCAATATTCTAGAATAATATTGACCAAATGCTCCCGATGACGCATAATTTAAATTATATTTAATTTTAACAAATATGGTGTTGATGTTATCGAAGAAGCACAACTCACATTATATAAATATTTCGGAAGAATATTTTATTGTTACTCATGTAAAACACAAATTTAATATTAATATTATATTGTTTAACTCGAAAGGTAGAATGAGTCGTTAGTATCAATATTACAGGGGAATATTGTATTTATACTCTTGAAAATTATATATCTCTTTATACAGCACAACTTATATGAAAAATTTGTATTGATGTTCCTAAAAAAATGACATTATTAATATTTTAAAAAAGAATATTAATTGCTCCAAAAGAACACTATATTATAATATCAATATTCCTTAAGTATATTGATTGGTTTTATGTAAAATCATGAATTAAGTTACTCTATTTATTTATGTATCCATTCTTCTACACACATCTTATATATTAATGTTCTGTTTAGATTTTATTGCTCTCGAAGAGTATAATGATGTAAGGTCTAATATAAAATTACGTTTTTACTCGTGAAGAGTAAATCATTACATAAGTTATTGCTGTAAATAATAATATGTTATTACTCTTGAAGAGCATTGAATTAAAATTCTCCATAATTCAGAAAAGTATTGATTTAATATTCTTGAAGAAGCAATATTAAAATGTAATGTGATTTTGAAATAGCATAATATAATTTTCATTAATATTTTAGTTAAATTGTATTTGCTCCCAAAGAGCATAATTATATACAATCCAACATAAATTATATTTTTACTCTTGAAAAGTAAATTTTTGTATAATTTATAATAATAATATTTGGTTGCTTCTAAAGCGTTTGAATTATAATTTTCAGTATTTTAGAAGAATATTGATATATTGATGTTGAAAAAACAATAATAAAATATAACGTAATCTCTGTGTCCTCACACATTTCGAAAAATTATACTTCATTGTGTTCCTAAAAACACAAAAATTATATGTTTATCCCTGAAGAAAAGCATACAATTTATGTCATGTGAACTTTAATTTTTATATTATATATCATAGTTAATCATACTTTTGAGAATTAACTATGTTTTTTATTTGATTAAATAATTATTTAAATTTGAAACTTATATTGAACTAGAAATTCAATTATTTGGCATGACGTGATGTGTGTATTATTTGTTCTCTTTATTGACAATTAATTATTAAACATAACCGACTAAAACAGGGATTGAACTTCCTATATTTTTGAAAATTAATTAGAGTGGTATATAGGGCGATATTATCCTCCACGTTGATCATCTAAGAACCCGTTTGGTACGGATTATAATTCGATTTTAATTTAAGTCAAAGTCAAATAATCAATCAATATTAGCCACATCTTCCATAGGTCCTAACTTTTCAATCACACATTTCAAAATTTTTTTATCACAATCTACTTAAAATCTATTTTTAATTCCCATCAAATAGCCTCTAAATATTATTTGTATCTGATAAATTTGATATATATACTAGATGGTTGCACGTGTTCATATCTTGAAGTTTGTGAAATTATTGTTCAAATTCTAAATTGTGAGTATAATTTTCGGATTATATAATCAAGATTGTGTCTTGTCAATGCTAGTGGACATAAACATCAACATTTTAATAAATGCTAGTTATTAGTTGAGATGTCAATAAATGGTTTGACACTATTATTTGTTACATGCCTTCAAGTAATTTAATTGAGAATAAGGTACTTCCCATTTTTGTTTGAGGATTTTCATTGCGCATCATGCCAATATCACAGTTCTCTCTATTATAATTGGCTTATAATTAGAGCATAATTTTTTCATCTAATTTTTTCGATAATGCATATATGTAAAATTGATATACCATAATGTATTCAAATGGAAAGTAAAGAATGTTGAGAATAAATGCATAATTTGAACCATTATCCCAAATGAGAGATATTTTATAACGGTGAAAAAATAATTGTCAATTTGATTGGACAATTCTCTCAATATTATAGGGAAGAATTAAGAAACTGAAAATAATATACAAATGCATTATTATCTAAATCACCGCAAAAGATCGTTCGAACCAAATGTTCAAAAGAAAATATACTTGATGCATTTATTGACTCAAGAGATCAATAATATCTCACACATCAGTTTCAAATATTCCAACTCGAATTAACGTCCTAAGGATAATTAGTCAATATGATATTTTAAGGTACGCTTGAAACCTGATGGTATTCGATTCTAATTAAAAAAAATCTCCAAACGAAACTAGAGCAATTAGTAAAGATAGTCTTATTAAAGAGTCATATATTCTTGATGAGTATTTAGACATAACAAATTACAAAATTTCAGAAGAGATTCAGGTACCTGATATATTGAAAATTGATATATCTCAATAAGTTATGTCATCATGAAGAAAGAAATAGAATCCAACAAGAAAATAAAAAATTGTCGACAATAATTTTGCACATGATGTATTGCATCATATAGCAACGCGTCAAAATATATCGATCGAAGTAATAATTAGCTAAATAAAGGGACTCAATTCTAACTTGAATTTATTAGAGAAACCTGAAGTTTTTGGATATACAGTTCGAACACCTGAAGGTGTATACTTATGCAAAATAAAAATGGAAAAAAAAATAAAGTCATAATATGAAATGTACTATTCTTTACATAATGAATTTCATGAAAATTAGTATAAATAGATAGATCATGTAGTGGAAGTAATTACAAGTCTCTATTTTATTAGTCTGGCAAGACATAGAATTTGATATTAATATTATAAATTCGATTATAGTCAATGCATCTGGCATGGTTATTAATGTTACCTTGAAAGATTTAAATGTTTGAATCATAATTCAAGTGTTATTATAATGAGGGAGAGTAATGTAAAATATTTTTCGAACAATTGAACAAAATAAACTTTAAAATATCCATTTTTACTAGTGTAATTTACACTGAGTAATGTACAATATTTTTCAAAGTTTAATTGCCCAAACTCGACATTTAAATTTCAGTGAATAATTGAAAACATGGACTTAAGTTAAGTGACCTCGATATTTTAAATTTTAGTGACCAATTAAAGTCATGAACCCAAGTTCAATTGCCATTGAAACAATTAATTAACTATGTGTCTTCGTGGAATTAAATTTTACTTATTAAAACATGTGTCTGACACTCATTTTTATGGAAAAATGAATTTTAGAATAGTAGATTGATAGAAAATGTGTGGATGAAAAATAAGAATTTTTTTTATTTACGTAAATTATTATTTTAATGAAAATTATGTGATTAAAATAAAGTGAAGGAAAAATACATTTTAATAAAAATGAGAATCAAACGAGCCTTGAGCCTCTATCTTGCTTGGATTTCTAGTTGATGCCACGAAGCAACAACATGGGGTTGGTGCCACGTGGACAAGTTGAGGCTGATGAACCTCTTAAGAAACTTGTAAATAACTTTTTATTTGAAAAAAAGTTGTAATGAATATTGAATAGAGGGTGTTTGGTAGATATTTTTATGTAAAAATGCATTTTTGAATAGTAAATTGATGGGAAATGTGTGGTTGAAAAATAAGGAAAAGTTTTTGATTTACGTGTAATATTATTTTAATAAAGAATGTGTGGTTGAAAAGAAGAGAGAGAAAAATGGATTTTCAAAAAAAATGGGTACCAAACAAGCTTATAATATGTTTTGTCTGCCTAGGTGCCAGTGAAGGCATCAACCTACACTCCAAACATGCTATTAGCCTCCCGTTTGAGTCCCATTATTTTTCATTACATTAAATTAAATTTTTCTCTCTTCTACTTTTAACCACATAATTTTCAATTAAAAAAAATATTACACATAAATCAAAAACTTTTCAACCACTCATTTTTCAAAAAAATATTATTCATCTCATTATAATCTACAAATAATAGGGCTCAAATAGCCCCTTAATGAAATGGAATTGGATGAATAATTGTTGGGGCTCATTTTATAATGCGGACAAATAAAAGACCAAAAATAACAAAATGGTCAGAACAGAATCATCTCAATAATTAAGAAAATTGTTCAACTATTAAAAATAAAAAACAATAAACAGACAAAATCTTTGGCTAGAGTTGTCTTACAATTGCAGACCACCTTGTTTCACCTTATTTCTTATTTGAACAAGTAAAAGTTGTGTCTCCAGTCGAGAAAAATCAAAGAGCCAAAACCTTGAGCAGACCCTGAAATGTAACCCCATCATTTTCATCTCCACCAGCCAACCTGATCATGGCTTCAACATCTTCATCACGGGCCTCAAACCCGGCCCATTTAAGGTAACTTTTCAAATCCTCACGGCCCACTTTCCCATCTCCATCTTTGTCCATAACCCGAAAAGCATCCTCCATTACACCCCATCTCCCATTTCTACCGTTTTTCCCATTCAAAACCTTCTCAAATTCATCATATTCCACATATCCATCCTTGTTAAAATCCGCCATGGATATCATAGACTTTATATCATCCTCATTGGAATCCCCGGGGCCAGAAAACCCTCCGTAAAAAGCCCGGAGATCGTCGTGGCTAATCTTTCCGTCGCTATCGGCGTCAAGAACATCGAATGCTGATCGCAAATTGGCTTTTCCGGTTGTTTCACGGCGGTCCGATGCGGTTCCCGATGGACACATTTTTGTTCGGGAAATACCAAGAAATTATGAAAGGACAAGATTTTTTATGAAACGGTGTCAACTGACGTTTGAGAGACTTTGGGAGGCAAGAAGTGTATTTATAGTTGGAGTTTGACTTGCCCATCAAGTTTATTTTCTTGAATTTGTAGAAATTAAAAATTCTTAGGGTAAAAATTCATCTATGGCCACTGAATTTTCTGTGAAATCTAAATCAGGTCATTAAGTACTAATTTACCTCAATTGGGTCACTAAGTTTCAATATTAAATTTTTGTTTCACCACTTGTCATATTCCGTCACTTGTCGACTTCCAAATGTTAGAAATTGCTTCTTTGACAATCATGCCATAATTGGTCTTCCATATAAGCTCTATATAGCAACCTAGATATTGAAAGACATGCTTTTATTATGTCTGTAGTGTAATGATAATTTCGCATAGCACAAACGATTACGTGGAAGATTCATTGTGATATGACCTATAATTAATTAATTTTTATCAATTTTGAAGTAGCATGTGATTGTGGAAAATTTGAAAGCAAAATTGAACAAAATAAAGTTTAGTCATTGACCTAATTGAAATTATTTTGAAAGTTCGGTGGCCGCAGACAAAGTTGACCAGATTCTTAGATTTGTATATTATTATTGTATTACCGATTACGTATGAGATGACGCACGTGGGAATCTAACATTTTGGTCAATGATCAAGTTTCTCGAAGGAATCAAAGACGTTGTCTCTTGTATGTGAATTGTGATGTCATTTTAGGGGAATTACACTAGGGTCCCAATTGTTTGCAAAATAGACCAACTCGAATAAAATTTTGATGTAAAATGTCTAAAAATGCTCCATGAAATAAGCTTTTCTATTGTTTTTAAGAATAAAGTTTCTTTGCCAGAAAAGTTTCGACATGTTGATTGACACATACCAACATGCGGTGAGATCCAAGTGGGACCCGCTAAAATAAAAAATGAAAAAAAGTGCACCCACCCCCATTTTATTGTGAGTGTCTGTCAGGTGGCAACATAACTTGATTTTATTTTTGATTATCAGTATCAATCTAATTCAGTTTAAATCACTTATTATTTTTTTCCATCCTCAATGAAGTGAGGCGCGGGACGATCATTACAGCACATGAAACGAACGAGTTGCGGAATGGATATAAATAGGAATGTTATGCATTCTTAAATTGGACAATAAAAACAAAGAAAAAGAATCATTCATTACAAATCGTGGTTAAAAATTAAACTTGTCAAAAATAATCTCCTCTTCCAAAGGAAAATTTGAATTCATTGCCCCTTTCCCTCTTGATTAATTATTATAATTCCACATTTCTATTTCCACGCAAAAGTGGGACAAAGTTAATAAATAATATTATTCTCCCATCAATTAGGTATATTTGGCCGGTTTGTCCATTACTGATGGCGACCCCAACAATCTTCAGTGGCTTTCATGTCAATAACCTAAAAATGTGCTTCAAAATAGAATAAAGTTTTAATTGTACTGTAAATATAGTAGTATTTATGAATGACTTTTATACCTCTACAATCTTAGTCATTATAACTGTTATATTTCTTGTAACCCTAATTTTTCTCTATAAATATGGAGTTTTAATAAATAATTAAATTTCTTTCTGAGGCCAACTCGGGCTTGAGCTGACATCTAAAAGTAAGTCTTGGCAACCTCGAGCTAAGCCACATGTTGTCGAAGTCGATGAGCCAAATTGATATCCATCCTGATGTTGTGGTATTAAATTTGTCTGTAATTGTAATTAGACCACTTTGATTTTGAGATAGATTTACTATACTCATCTTTTTAGATATGGGTTATAATTGTATAGGGCCACATGGGTTCTGCATAACCAGGGGCGCCACTTAGGTGGGAGGCCTATTTTGTACACCGGGTTCTGCATAACCAGGGGCGCCACTTAGGTGGGAGGCCTATTTTGTACACCTAGCATGATTCTTTAGATATAAATTTTATATGCATTATATATATATATATATATATCTTTTAAATTAAAAATATATCATGTTGTGCTCCTAAAGAAGCATAACTCTACAAATATTACATTCTACTGAAGAGTTATAGTTTTTAAATAATAGGTTGTTGTTACTTTGGAAATAGTATAACATTATAATTGATATTTTAGAAGAATATTACTCCCTATTGAAGAGTGTGAATTATAATTTTTAATATTTTAGAATAAAATTAACATATTGCCTTTTAAGAAAGGATAGTAAAATATAACATGTTCTCGAAGTAGAACACGCCTAAAAGAATATATGTCTCGTTATGTTCTTGAATAAACACAAATTTAATTACTCAATACTTGGTTGTAATTTTTAAAGGAAATTACTTTTTATTATATTAATATACAAGAAGAATAGTAATTTAGTGCCACTGAAGAGCGTAACGTTTAGTGGTTTAATATTCTCACATATTATTGCTTCAAAAAGAGAAACAAGTAAAAATCTTGAAATGCTAGAAAAATTTAAGATGGTTATCAAGATATCACAATTCTTCAAAGATAAAATGTACTTCTTGAAATTAAAATTAGCATAAAATAATGTTAATAAAATATCAGGTACATAAAAAATCATTGAAGGCTCCGAAAGAGCTTTTATTATTTCATCAAATAATTCAAAATTATATATTGATGCACTTTATTCCAGCAAATTCAAAAAAAAAAAAAATCCGTTGCAATCGATATCGTAAATGCGAAGTTCGTTGATCCAAAAAGTTTATACTTGGAATGATTAGTTATACCACCATTGGATTAATAATGATGCAAAATTGAAAGTTCAAAAGGACGTTCAAGAAAAATTAGAAGATTTTCAATCAAATGAATTCCTATATATTATTTGTTCTATTTTTCATTAATTTGCATTAGCTAATATAGGGATTGAATTCCCTATATTTTCTGAAAATTAATTAGGGAAATAAAGGGGGTCATGCATCCTTCATGTTGACTATCTAGATATTATTTGTATCTAATATATTTAATATAGCTACTAGATAATTGCATGGTATTCACAACCTAAGTTTGTGAAATTGCTACTCAAAAGTTAAATCATGAGCATAATTTTTCGAATTATACAATCAAGACAATATTTTGTTAATGTCAGTGAGCCTAAATTTCAACATTTTATTAAGTGTTATTTCGAATGTCGACAAATGATTTAACTAGTTTGCTTGTTAAACGCTGCTAATTAATTTAATTAGGAACAAAGTTCTTCCCATTTCTGTTTGATGAATACTTTTATGCATAATGCCTATATCAAGTTCACCATATTATAAATAACTTATGGTTACAATATGATTTCATCATCTAATTATTTTGACAGTACAATATATATATACAATCAATCCACCACATTAAACTGAATGAAAAGTAAAGAATGATGAAAATAATTGCGTAGTTTAAACTTTTATCCCAAATAGTTGATATTTTACAAACTTGCTTATTGTCAATTTTATTGGACAATTCTCTCAACTTTAGGGGAGGAATTAAGAAGTTGAAAAACAATGTACAAATGCACCATTATTTAAATCCTCGCAAAAGATAATTCGAACCAAAAGTTCGAAAGATAATTTATTTGAATACATTTACTCATCAAATAGATCAATAATATCTCACATACCAACTTTACATGCTCCAACTTGAATTAATACCCTCGAGGACAATTGGTTAATTTAATAAATTTATGGCACATCTAAAGTATGATAATATTTGGTTCTAATGCAAAAATCTCCAAACAAAATTGGAGTAATCCCATTAAGGATGCATATACTTTTGAAAGGATTTAAATAAAACAAATTAACCCCATAAGAGGTTCATATGTATGATATATTGAAAATTGAGATATCTTTATAAGTTATATCTTTATGTAAGAAATAGAAACAAAAAAGAAAAAATTATTGACAACACGTTTACATATGATGTACTATATCATATTTTGAATAGCGAATAATTGAAATAAATTAGCCGAAGCATATCAATCGAATAAATAATTGGTAAAAGGATGCAATTTTAGCACGATTGAATTTACTAGATAAATATAAAGTTTCTAGATCTACAGTCGAAATACCTAAAGATTTATATTTATGCGAAATGAAAATAGAAAAAGTAAAGGCGTAATGTAAAATGTACAATTCTTTACATATTGAATTCAGTGAAAACTTGTGTAAATAGATAAATTATCCAATGGAGGATGCAATTATAAGTATCTTGTTAGTCTAGCAATGCATGCAATTTGGTATGCATGTAGTAAATATGATTATAGCCAAATTACCTTGTATGATTTTTGTTACACCTATAAATTACCACTTCATATTAGGCCCCAAAGTCGACGTTCTGACAAGGCCAGTCGAGGCGCCACTAAGGCCCTAAGGAGTTCAGCGGAGGCGCTCGCCAAAGTGCCTATTATTATGTTCATATGATCACCTCCTTATTGGGCTTAAACTTCGACCCACCAACCCGTTTGGCTCATTTTACTTCTATTTCACTATATATATGGATTCACTTACACAACTAAAGTATGTTCTACACTTTCTAATCATACCTTCATCTTCATACTATTGCACTCTATATATCCATCTCCGTCCGGCCGTTGACTTGATCGTCGGAGTGCAAACGATCGCCGGACCCTTTTCTCGTCTGACCGCATTTGCCTCTTGACGGTGTGCTACTTCTGTAGGTTTTGAGGGGACGAGGCTAAGGAACCTGTTGAAGCCGTTTTTGGAGGTCAACAAATTGGCACCATCATTTGTGTAAAATGGTATGTTGACCATGTTATAGTACATCCCAAAGGCTATCGAAAAGGGAGAATTTTTCCGATCAGTTCTCTACCAAAAAGGGGCAAAGATAGCAACCAAGAATGAAGAAGAAAAGGCAGTAACTAGAAGAGGGTTGAAGAAACTCGATGGTTATTTCCGGCACAAAACACAGCTAATGAAAGGGAGGAAATAGTTTGGCAAACTGAAATTAATTTTTGGTGGAGTTTCTCGTGCCCAAATTGAAGAAAAAAGTCATGAAAATGGTGATTAGGAAAGAAATGGCCATCCACACCTAGAAGGT